GGCTGGGGGGGGCCCCCGCCAGCACACTGGGGTCCAATGATGTAAGTGGGGACACGCACCCCCCCCCCGGGCACACTGGGGTGCAGCGATGCACCCAGGGCACCCAAGGTGCCTCAACCCTGCCCAGCGCACCCCACTGCACCCAGCCCCCCCCCCCGTGTCCCCCCACCCTTGCAGGACCCTGCGCTGGGTGTCCTGAGCACCTGCAGAGCTTGCCAATGAGGGAGCAGGCGGCCTCGCCGAGGAAAGCAGGGAAGGAGAAGACGCCGTCCAGGATGCGGCTGTAGATCTGCTGGGGGTCAGCGCTGTGGAAGGGGGGCCTGCGGGGCACGGGCAGGTGGGTGCCTTGCTGCGGGGGGGAGGGGGGCTCGGCCAGCCTCGGGAGCGCCCGCTCACCTGCCCACCAGCAGCTCGAAGGTGAGGATGCCCAGCATCCAGAAGTCGACAGCGAAGTCGTGGCCTTCCTGGCGCAACATCTCAGGCGCCAGGTACTCGGGGGTCCCGCAGAAGGAGTAGGTCTTCTCCCCCCGCCCCAGCTCCTTGGCGAAGCCAAAGTCAACCTGTGGGTGCCGGCACCATCAGCCAGCGCAGCCCCCGCCACCCCCTACCCAGGCACCGCTGCGGCGGTGGTGGTGCTGCTGGGACACCCTCCCTGGTACCAGCTTGACGTAGCCGCTCTGGTCCAGCATGAGGTTCTCGGGCTTCAGGTCGCGGTAGACAATGCCACGGCCGTGCAGGTACTCGAGACCCTCAACCACGCAGGCACAGCAGAACACGGCCAGCGGCTCCTCAAAGCAGCGCCTGCACCGCAGGGACCAGCGGTTGCATGGTGCCATATGGCACGGCACTGCCACCCCCGCTCACCCCGTCTCCATACATCTCACGCAGCTTGGTCCACAGCTCGCCGCCCTGGCAGAACTCCAGCAGCAGGTAGACATACTGCCCATCCCGGAAGGTGCCGAAAAAACTGCCGGCAGAGAGGGGTCGGCGGCGGGACCTCGGTGCTGCCAGCGGCCGTGCCGCCCCCCCAGTGCCCGCAGCCCCCGCTCTCACCCCACGATGAAGGGGCTGTGGCTGCCTGCCAGCACCCGCCGCTCAGTGCGCACGTGCTCCTGCTGCTGCGTCCGCACCACCCAGTCCTTGCGGATCTGCTTCAGCGCAAAGAGCCGCTCCCCGGATCGCACCTGGGCACAGGCGGCCATGGGCAACCGGGATGGGCACCAGGATAGGCACGATCAGCCGCGGCAGGATGGGGCCGGGTGCCAGGA